ACCTATGTAAAATGATGATTTACCCATATTTAATTATACAACTTTTTCTATTTTCTTTTTAAAAAGAAAAAACTAAAACGGAAATTAGAATATGGTAACTTTAATGTCTTACCCTAATTTTTCTCTCTCGCCACCTACTTTCCTCATTCTTCTTTATATTCAACTTTGCAATTCATTTTTAATTTTTTTTTTCTCAATTACTTTGTCATATCTCATTTGCCATGGATCAAAATCTTCATTCATAGATTAAGATAATAATTCTTTTCTTCCATTAATCTCTATTCATAGTTGACTATGTTTGAAAATCAGCATAATGGTAAATGTGTGTTTATGATATAGTTAACTATGAATGTTATTTTCATTATAGTAGGTATGCATTACTGAAGACACGATTAAGATGGGATGCATTACTGAAGAAGACTAATTATAATATAGTTTTTTAGTCATGTGATGGGATGCATTACACGATTAAAATGTGTTTATAATATAATTATGATATAGTCATGTGATGTTTATGATTAAGATGGGATGCATTACTGAAGAAGACTAATTATAATTATATGTATATGTGCATGCTGATGATGCGGTTATAAATAATTAAGACTTGTAACTAAAACACTGATCAGAAATTCACCTACCATAAGAAAAGTATCCACTAAAGTGCTGCTGCTGCTTCGTTATATAGAAGACCAAACAATTTACGAAGAATTCCATTTTTGATCTCTTTCAAAGTCAATCTTGCTTCCTTAGCTTCTTTGTCAAACAGAGATTTCCACAAGTGCAAAATCTTAGACTCTATCACATCCCTCGCAAACCCATTCTCCTCTGAAACAGCCTTCACACACCACAGCTTCTCCTCTATCTTCTTCACCGCTTCTTCAATACTAGACGTTAACTCTCGGCCACATGTTCCTCCTCCTCTAAGCAACAAGACAACGCGGTCCAGCTCTCTCAATCCAAAATCGAACCGACGCAGTGTCGTCACGACCAAATTCCATTGGACCAAATTGTTGCCATCATTCAGAAATACTCCACCCTTTCATTTGATGTATTTTATGTAGACACGATGCATAACACGAAGGAACCTATCCATCACATGACTTTCATTATTTGCATCTCCATAGAACCTATGGCAAAACCATAACACAGTACGAATGTCATCACACAGCAAGAACATCGATTCAGCCACATGTAGGGAGAGCTCAACTCCTAGTCGCACAACCTCCTCTTTTAGCTCCTGTTTTGCAAAATCCTCCCTGC